ACGACAAAAAAGAGCCTCCTAATTAGTTTTTATGAGTTTCCATTCATGCACATCTCTCATCTTTCCCAAATTTCACCTGGGGAAATCATTTTTGTAAAATGACCATATAAACAAATATCACACCCTCATTGCTTAGAATCTTAATGGATTTTTATTACCATAGGTAGGAAAAAATATTTGTCCATCCTTTGGGAATGAACAGGTAAAATATGTTGAATGCACACCATGCAGCATCTATGAACACCATTTGGATACCTTAGATGTATATGTGGAGCGTGGATGCGTCTGAGCACAAGGCTCAGTGGAATAAAAAATCGGATGAATGCTTATACTTCCAGCCACGATGGATTCGCAGGAACCGGATTTACCTTCCCACCTTAAAAAGAAATACTTATATACCAAAAATTTCCAAGGCTTTACATCATGACACCGCCTATCACACGGGGCACTGATTCCTGAGAGAAAGGATCGTGACCAGGCGAGCCCTCTGATTGCCCAATTCCCCCAATTTCTTGCCTGGATAGTTTCCAGGCTGCAGCATAGGGAGCCTGAACACAAACGGAGCCCAATGGACAGCCTATATGAAGGGGACAGAGTTGAGAATTCAAGAGGCTACTATGACTAGAATTCTCTGGGAGTGATAGAGAGGATAGAGCTGCACAGAGACGCAGCTCTGGGGATCTTTCCGGAAACAAAGTGAGAAAGGGGGAGCGGTGGTAGATGACTCCCAGTTTCTGGAGTGAGTAGCTGTGGAGTCATTTACGGAGATTGTGAACATGGGAGAAAAACAAACAAACAAAACAAAACAAACAAACAAAACACTGAGAGCTGGGGATGTGTGCATTGTGTGGAGGGGTGAGTATACAAAATGACCAGTTTTAGATGGTCTAACTGTGAAGCGCCCTTAAGACATCCAAGTGGAGATACCATGTAGGCGGGCGGAGGTAAGCACTTGGACCTCAAAAGAGGAGTTTGAACGGGGCTTGTAGATTTTAGAGTGATTCGCATATAGCAGTTTCTCGAGGCTCTCTTTGGTAGGATCTGGTCGTCTCCCACAAAGGACATGGTACAGAGGAAGGGCCAAAGAGACACAAGTGGCTGACAAGGGAGATTCATACACAGCAGCGGAAGAAAGTCATAGAGCCAGGCAGAAAGGATATCGGTCAGAGGACAGTGAAAGCTGTGGTCCTAGCAACAGCTTCCATTCACACACGGGGGGCCTGGCGAAGCTGGTATGCAACCCCATATAAAAATCCACTATGGATTTTGCAAACAGTCAAGGTTTGATTTGAGGTTGGGACTGCTAGGGTCCGGATAAGGTGAGGGTGGGACAGATGGAGAGGAGAGCGGTTGGGGTGGGGGTGCAGCACTGCCTGAGCCGGCAAGCCAGAGGTGCGCGCTGGCAACCCAGAGATCTGAGCAAATGCTAAGAATTGCAACACACAGAGGTGAGCGAAGAAAAGATTAACTTAAGAAAGCTTCACCCCCCCACAGACAGGGAGCGGGCCTACACTCCAGGTGAGTGTGGCGCCTTAGCCCCCCAAAGCCCTGGCTTAAATCCTTTTCCTTGGAGATGTTGCAATCAGGTAGACGTGACTGACGTGACTTCCTTATTGACCACCTGTGGATGTCTTGGCGAACCTGTGACACAGAGACCCACTAATGTCCGCCCACATTATCATAGCCCCTAGAGAAGGGCGTGGCAAGGATTCTAATTCTCCTGCACCTTCCAGAACAACATTCCTTAGAGCTAATGGAGGGGGCACTTCCTCTTATCTCCTAGGCATTCCCAGTGGGTAGCTTCGAGGGGGATCCTTGGCTTTCCAGTAGATAGTGCCCAATTTACTGGAAGATCAAATCCCCACCTGCTCCCTCCCCACCTGACCGCTGAGCGGTCATAACTTTTGTAATTACAAGTTTCGCGACTTTTACAACCTTGCCCAATGCACGATGTCTTAGGCCTTGTAAATCCCCTTTACTCTAGGCAAGCTTGATTACCGCTATGAGATATCTCCGATACGTAGCAGCAGGAAGCCTGTTTCTGAAAAGACAAAGTCGGCAAAGTTAATTTTTCCTAAAGTGTGCATTTCTCCAAAAGCATAGCTTCTACTTTCTCATCATTGTATTAAAGTTTAGGAAGAAGATTTTAAAAATGCATTTCCCGCTCTCGGCCTGTCCTTTCAGGGACCACAGCATCTTCTGCCTCAAAGGATATACAAGCGGAGATGTCACATAGGCAGATGAATGCATGCACTGGAGCATCAAAAGCAAAGCTCGAGCTGGGCATGTAGATTTCGCAGTGATCAGCTCAGACACACAGGTGTCTGACTCCCTGGCCATCCCAGCAGGCACCAGGGGCAGGGTGATTGTGGCACTGATAAGGAAGAGGCCTGACAGTCTGAGCACGGAGGGGACCCCGAGGAGCAATTCCCACACGCGGGTGGACTCACGTAATGCGGGCAGGCGGTGGGGTGCGGGCCTCTGCCTGTGTCCTCCTGAAGGCAGAGCGCGAACTTCGGCCTCGGCTTCGGCTTCGGGAACACAAACCTTGCTTGTTTGGGTCACGTGCTGGGGTGGGGTGAGGGGTCTGCCGCTCAAATGGAGAGAGCGGGCCTCGGTCCCAAGGCCATCGCTAGCAGAACGTGGGCTTTGGAGTCTGGAAGACCCAGGACCAAAGTTTGCACTCTCTGATGACTGGCTCTGTGGCCTAGTCTCCTTCACGCAGTGTGCCTGTGCCTCAGCGTCCTGAACTGCAAAATGGGGATGCTGACATCCACCTCCCAGGGCTGCTGTGAGAGGAAGACAAGCACCAGAACAGATGCCGCAGTGACATACAAAGCTGCATAAAGAGTAGCTGAGGAAGCAGAGGTTCCCAGTGTGTCTGGGGGCCACAGAGTGGGCTAGCGGAGAAGAACACAAAAGGAACTGCCATCGCTGACCATTTATTTCCATTTCCTAGCCCAGCAGGTTGAGGACTTCCACTTGTTGCAGTTAGAGACCCAGTTAGAGACCTCATTAGTTGTGACCTAAAGGGCCATGCTGGGGAAACGGGGCATAGTGCATCCCAGATGGGCCTGGAGGAGTTTGGGTGAAAGGGCAGGGCAGGACAGAGAAGCATTGTAAAAAGTGGGGGGATTGAGTATAGATGCTTGGGGGGGTGGAGCAGCACTGCAGGGTGTGGGTGTGCGCGTCCGGGGTCGGAGGAGGGTGGGTGGGGGAATCTGGCGGGAAGAAACCCTCCCTCAGCGCCCACCCACCCCCGGAATCGCATGCGCACTGGGGACCTGGAGGAAAGGGCTTTTGTTGGGAAAGCGGGCGGGCTGGAGGGGTCCGCGCATGCGCAGGCTGCCCTGCCGCGGGGGGTGCACGGAGAAAAGGGGCGGGGTGGTCCCCGGCTGCTATGCTGGCAGCAGGAGGCGAGGGCGCGGCTGCGGGGTTCCTGGTGCTGAAGACCGACGCCATTGGAGCCCCAGGGAAGGTAAGGATCCAGACACAGACAGGACCGGGAGAGGGCGAGTGGGACCCGACACGCTGCCATCCCCCCCCGCCCCCGGATCTGAACAAAGCCCGAGCACTCAGAACCGGAACCCCGCTAGACCCACGGTCTAGGTAGGAGCCCCCATCACCATCAGACCCAGGCGTCCCGATCCAAGCCCTACTGACACCGGAGCCCACGCTCCGAACCCTTTTGGCGACTCCTGTGCGCTGAGCTGAGCTTCCTTAGACCGGAGGCCCCACCCCCCACCCCAGTCACTCCTAGATTACTCCAACCGAGCTGCCCGCTTGCCCCCTTCCTGGAGTGCCAGTCCTCGGGTTTGAGACCCCCAGCGTTCCAACTGCCTCACCTAGGTCCGAGACCCCCACCTCCAGTATGAGCCCCACCTAGAATGGAATCAGCTGAATCCCCCGCCCAGACCTGGCCAAAAGGTCCCTGGGATTCAGGTTCCCAGAGCTTGCCGCTGTCCCTGTTGTCTGAGCCCTCCCATCCGCTCTCTCTGCATCCCGGCCCGGCCCCCTTCACTTCAAGCCCTTTGTTTCTCCCCCTCTCGGTGCATCCCCTTTGGGACTCTTAGGACCCCAGTCCTCCAGGACACCCCCTATTCAAATCCAGCCACTAGGATGGAGAGCCTGCCCATCCCCAACCCCCGTTTCAGGACGTGGTCTCCTGCGGCCTCCTGAACGACCTTTTCTGGGGCTCTATCCCTGACCCAGTCCACCCTCGTACCGCCCAGTAACCTGGTGATCGTTGCCCCTCACCTCGCGAGAGATCCCGCCTCCCACCGGATCCCACCCCCTCCCCCTAGCAGCTGCCTCACCCTCCCTCTCAGGCTGAGCTCCCTTCTGGAGACCTGCAGCATGGCTGAAAGAAACCGCAGGGTGGAATCCCAGAACTACAGTGTTGAAGACATGGATGAGGATAGCGACGAAGTCGGGGAGGAAGAGATGGCTGAAGGCAACGACTATGGAGGATTTGGTGCTTTTGGCGGCTATGGCCCCCTCAGGAGCTTTGACATCTATATCCTCAGAGCCTTTGGTAGCTTGGGTCCAGACCTTCCTATCCCGTCGGTGAGACCTCTTCTTGGCCACCTGCTTGTCTAGGCCTTTCCCCCTTTGAAGTGGGGAGGGCTAGGAGGGGTGAGTGCAGGGTGGTAGTGTCCAGTGGGAAAGGATTGCCCAGCTGCCCCAAACCTTCCCTCTCCTGCTCGGAGAAAGAGGGTTTGGGAAGGTCTGGGGGTGGTCAGAGCTGGCTGCTGGAAGGAGGCTGGCCAGCACAGGGAATCATGATGCAAGTGTGTGGAGTGCTCTGCCCTCCCCTACCCCTCTCTCTCTGTGTATGTGTGTGTCTGTCTCTCTCTCTCTCTCTCTCTCTCTCTCTCTCTCTCTCTGGCCTTGCAGAATGAGCCCTGGGCACTGGAAAACCCTGCGCTGCCACAGACCTTGGGGGAGGCATTGCAGCTGGATCCAGGAACACTTGCCAATGGGACGGCTGCCAACTTAGCCCTCGCCGCCGCCTCCAGCGGTGCCGCTTGGGCCGCTGCCGCCGCTGTCCGTTCTGCCTTCAATCAGTCGTTCGCTAGCCAGCACCGAGTGGGCACGCCGCAGGCCTCAGGAGATGATGCTCAGCCCACGACCTACGCAGAGGCTCAGGGGGCCACCCCTGAGATGCCCCCTGTTTCTCCCCAGACCTCCCAGATGTTAGTCACCAGTGAGATGGCTGCACCTGGGGCTCCAACAACCTCCACACAGTCCCAGACAGCCCCCCCGGCCCAGGAGGCTGCTACCGAGGGTCCTCACACCGCCTGTGCTTTCTCTCAGGCTCCAAGTACCAGTGAGGTGGATCAGGATGATGACTTTGATTTCACGGCAGGTGCCTGTGGCATGGACTTCCCACGCGCCAGGAGACCTGCCCCTACCCGAGAGGCTTCCACACGGGGCCCCAGTGCCGCCTCCCGTGTGCCCCGGGCAGAATCTGCCACCCGGCCCAAGACGACTAAGTCTGGGAAGGCTCTGGCCAAGACTCGGTGGGTGGAGCCTCGGAATGTTGTGGCAGCAGCTGCTGCCAAGGCCAGGATGCCCACCCGCATCCCTGAACCTCAGGGTGCAGCTGCTGCTGCTGAGCACAGTGCTGAGCCCTGGGCCAGGATGGGCGGCAAGAGGACGAAGAAGGTGAGCTCTCCCTGTCATCTCCACATACCCTTTCTGCTATTCTTTTCCTCTGCCCTCCCCTCCCCTCCTCTCCTCTCCTCTCCTCTCCCCTCCCCTCCTCTCCTCTCCCTTCCTCTCCCCTCCTCTCCTCTCCTCTCTTTTCTTCTCCTCTCCTCTCCCCTCCCCTCCTCTCCTCTCCTCTCTTTTCTTCTCCTCTCCTCTCCTCTCTCCTCCCACTCCTCCAGCCCCTCCTCTCAGCTAGTCCCTGTTTCTCCAACACAAGTTTGCTGAGCGTGTTTTCACTCCACGTAGTTCCCATCCTCAGGACTGGTGGGAGAAGAGGCTGGCTCAGTGCCTGGCACTTAGTAAGCACGCAGCACATGCCAGCTGCTGCTGGTACTGCTCTTAATTCCAAGAGTCTGCTATGGGTAAGGTGTGTTCTGAGTGCTTCGTTTGGCACGGGAGCCTGGTAGCCCTGGATCTCTCCTGTCTCAAATGATACAGTCTAAGCACCTGGATGAGGAATACGAGAGCAGCGAGGAGGAGAGAGAGCTTCCTGTGGTCCCACCGACCTGGAGAGTGCCGCAGCCCTCACTGGCGGGGCGAGCTCAGTTGGCCCCTCGGCCCGCCGTGGCCCCGAGGTCCGTTGCCCCGAGGTCCCAGATACCCTCAAGGCATGTACTGTGCGTGCCTCCCCGCGATGTGACCCTTCTTCAAGAGAGGGTAAGAACACGCCCTCCATCATCTCCCTCCTCTCCTTCCCTGTGGGCCACTTGTCTGCTGTGGCCCATGCCCTGATGGCCCCATGTGTTTTTCCTTCTCCAGGCAAATAAGTTGGTGAAATACGTGATGATTAAGGACTACAAGAAGATCCCCATTAAGCGCTCAGGTAGGCAGCCTGTGCCCCCCTGCCAACCCCGACTCTGTGGGCATCCCTTTGCTTGCGTGCTCCCACTCAGCAGGCCATGGCCAGTCCCTCTGTCGCCACAGCACGGGGTCCTGGCTGTGCCGTCCTCCACAGGGCTGATTAAGGGCCGGCAGCTCTGTGGCTCCTGCTCAGCCCACGTGCTGTCTCCGGCCCTTCCCCCGCCTTGCAGACATGCTGAAGGACGTCATCCGAGAATATGACGAACACTTCCCTGAGATCATTGAACGAGCAACATACACTCTGGAAAAGGTGAGTGTGAGATGGCAGCAGCTCTGTGGAATGAGAGCGGAGGTGGATGGGAGGAACCTGCAGCCCCTCACGGCCCGGCTTTGGCACCACCCATTCTGGAGCCTGCCCTAGCCTCTCCACCTCTGATCTTCCACGGCACTGGCTGCTTGACCCACACTTCCTGCCCTTGGCGCCTCTCTCTCTCTCTCTCTCTCTCTCTCTCTCTCTCTCTCTCTCTCATGCTCCCTGAGTGTCTCGTTGACTTGTGAGGTGGGTCTCACCACCCCTGCAAGTGCGGGCGCCTACAGGGACAGTCCTCCGTGTCCTCTCTTCTGCCCTCGCCCACGAGTTTGGACTCCCTGCTGAGGAGCAGTTCCACCCGGGAACTGACTGCCTCCTGCAGATGCCCAGCACGGAGTTCTGATCGCACACTCTGTTGTACCCCCCATGTAGAAGTTTGGGATTCACCTGAAGGAAATCGACAAGGAAGAACACCTGTATATTCTTGTCTGCACACGGAATTCCTCAGCTGGCCTCCTCGGAAAGTAAGAACAGGAAAGAGGGTCATGGCCTTCCTCGGCGGTGCCCCTTCCCTGCCCACATCCCCTCAGAGAAGCAAGGAAACAGGGCTTGAGGGCCGAGCCCAAATCCCACACAAGAGTTTAAGTGGTGCCCAGTGACAACTGGATGAAAGGCATGGTAGCCTGGGGTGAGGCCTTGTGCCTTCGGGTCTGCCCAAGCCGATGCCAGGGTTTCCCCCTGAAGCTAGCGAGGAAAGCGGCTTGCCTCTTCCTACTGCCTGCCTGCCCGGGGCTTGGCAGGGTGAGCCTTGGGGGAGAGCCTCCTGTTGAGTGTAGATCCTGATGCCAGTAGGGCAGGAAAGGTCTGGCTATGCCTCCAAGCACACCTTTGTCGTTTACCGAGGTTTTCCTCCCTGCCTCACCCTGTCGTCTGCAGAACCCTGACAGGGAAGAACTGGTGTACATGTTTCATGCAGGAGATGTTTGAGTCTCAGGTGGTGGTGTGAATGGTCTGTGAGCAGGTAGCAGGGAGCAAGCAGCAAGCCTCTAGCCGGGAAATCTGGGAGAGACCAGCCAGGTGAGCCGGCTGTGGACTCTCGGGCGAATGGTTGCTGGAGAAGATCCCTCTTTCTACATCTTTAGGACCAAGGACACTCCCAAGCTGAGCCTCCTCTTAGTGATTCTGGGCGTCATCTTTATGAATGGCAACCGTGCTAGCGAGGGTGAGTGATCGGACCTGTGGGGGGGCGGTGGGTGGAGG